CACACTCTCCCCTGCCTGGCTGCTCCTGGCTTTTTCCTGGCCAATGTCTACAACTTGACACATCTTGCTGCCTAAATTTTCCATCTTAGAAACCTTTACCCAAGAAAACTGGTTTTAGTGTTTAGTTTTTAGTGGCTGTGTGTGAGAGGTGACACTGTCCATATGCTAAGGTTGGCCAGTCATTTAGAGGATACATTTTCCATTCTGCTAGCTGCATTTTAGAAGACCACTGAATAGTCTCAGAAATATCATAAAGAATAGTATTAGGGGCTGGGCGCAGTGGCTCATGCCTTGTAAATCCCAGCATTTTGGGAGGCCAAGAGTGGGTGGATCAGCTGAAGGTCAGGAGTTCAAGACCAGTCTGGCCAACATGGCGGAACCCCATCTGTACTAAAAATTAGCCAGGCATGGTGGTGGGCACCTGTAATCCCAGTACTTGGGAGGCTGAGGCAGGGAATCGCTGGAAGCCAGGAGGCAGAGGTTGCAGAGAGCCTAGACTCTGCCACTGCACTCCAGCCTGGGCAACAGAGCGAGACAACGTCTCCAAAAAAAAAAGAGAAAAGGAAAAAAAAAAAAGCTTTAGGAAATAATACACTCAGCAATCAGAAGAGGGGATGTGAGGGATGTCTTCAAGTATTTAGAAATACTTGCAATTCAGAAATTACTTGTTATGTGGGATAAAAAATTATTCTCCATTTCTCCAATTTCTAGTCTGTTTTTATTGACATAAGCTAATTCAGTTTTTTCTTTTTTCAGAAAATGAATGAGAAAGAACAAATATTCTTCCACCTTAGTATAATTTTTGACAAAGTAAAATCATATTTTAAGAAAGAAGTCTTTGAAATAATTTTAATACAAACTTTCTTGAAACTTTTGTAAACTGCCCTATTAACACAGGTAACAGCACCAATAACAACAGTGTATTACACCAACTGTAAGTAGAAACAGTGAGATCACTAAAGTTTATTTGTTCTTTCTAGGATGCTGACGTGGAATGCCCACTGCCCGCCCCGGCCACACACACACAGAGCCAGCTTAGAAGGGGCAGCTCCCATAACACAACCGTGAACAAATTATCACGCCATCCCCTGGGGACAAGGACACTCACCCTCTGTGTCTAAATCTAATCTGGGGCAGAGTTTTGAATGTGAAAGCCCAACTTTAAGCCAATTTCAGTCTTTAGATAAAACTGAAAACTAGTTTTGACACAAGACTAGTCTTGTGTGCCAATTATTAATTTTTT